TTCTCTCTCTCTCTCTCTCTCTCTCTCTCTCCCTCTCTCTCTCTTTCCCTCTCCCTAAAACAAGAATATATTGGTATAGGGAGAGAATAATTTATTTGACACAAAGAGAAGCTTGTCGGAAAAATGGTGAGTCACCCAGTGCTTGGAGGAGACAAAATAGTCAAGAACAGAAATTGTTATTGTTGTTGTTGTTGTTGTTGTTGTTGTTGATATTGTTGTTGGTGTTGTTGTTGTTGTTGTTGCCTTTGTTGTTGTTGATGTTGTTGTTGTTGTTGCCTTTGTTGTTTCTGTTGTTGTTGTTGTTGTTGTTTATACTTCACAACATTTCTGCCCAATGTCCGACACCACTGATGGAAGGACGAGTCCATCACTGATACAAATTCATCTTCGATCTTTTTGGCATGTTTATTTTCTTTGTTTATCACTCTTATATTATTATTGAAAGCATGTACAGAGGGTGGTTGGAGGGCCTCATTGGTAGTTCCTACTTCTTCACTCCCCGTCTGTTCTTCCTGTCAGTCTGTCTTTCTTTTACCTGGTACTTCGTACATTCTTCCCCGTTATTGTGTCGATGTGCGCTTTCTTACTCCAACAAACGAATCAAGTACAAAACTGAAGAAACGAGTTGATGGCAATTTCCCATACAGGTAGAGATGGATGACGTCACCCCCTCCACGTCACTCACGGAGCTAGTAAAACAATTCTTTTCTTTTTTTTCCTGACACTTCCTGAATTTTTAGTTACTTGGAACGATCGTATCCCATCGTACACGATCATTTCTTCTCCTGATTTATCGCCACCAGTTTGCTCTTCTTATCTTATAAGCCTTACTTTTTCTTTCATTTCTGTTTTAATCGCTTGTTATTTTTAGGAAGTTGGCTATTTCCAGAACTATAAAAACTCTAACAATATAGATGGTTTGCTGCCAGTCTTAAGACGGTAGATAATCAAATAGAATGCTATAGTTCCGCTGCGTGCCAAATTTCAGAAATCATGGTGTATATTTGACACACTATCTCTTTAATCTACATAGTCTATGCCCTTACGCTTAGATGCTTTTGTTTCAGATAAACTAGAGTCTAACTCAGAAAACTGATTGGGGGAGGGGCGAGGGTGACCGTTATCTGCATGATAGCGAGGAGCATGCAATAAATAGATGTGCACCGAGAAATATGAGCATGGGGAAAGATTAAATTTTAGTTTTTCCCTCGACCTTTATCTGTTCTTCTTGCCCTTTCGCACTCGTTCGAGCCAATGCGGGAGGTATAAAATGTCTGATCTTCTCTATTTTTTCAGGGTGTTTTTCTTGTTTCGATTTTTTTTAGCGTGAGAATTAAGGGAGATGGCGAGGGGCATCTATGGGGGTTCTTTGCTACGTAATTTCATTGTTTTTGCATCAACAAAAAAGAGGGTTACTTCTTTTGGATTCTTCTCTTGTTTACTCTTTCCTCACACGACGAGCTTGGTCTGGCATGAAGGATACATTTTTAACCCTCTGCGGCTCACCGCTCCGTTGTAGAAGGTTATGAATTCGAGCAGCCTCGCGGAAGTTCGAGGTTTAAATCCTTGTCAGGTCCGATTATTTTTCACGCCCTATCTGGAATGTTTCCCCTCTCAGCACAATGCT